AAAATACCACTGCGTGGGGTCCGCCACCCTCCGCCGCGCCACTGGTGGGCGTGAAAATAGAGCCCGAAGAGTTAAGAAGAAACTCGCCAGTGTTAGCACTGATTTTACCGAACTTGTATATTGTCTCATTTTGACTGCTGATAGACGGCAAATGTCCAGGCAGGTTAAATAGTGTGCTAAACCAACAAAACACAGTTTCATTATGAGAGAGAAATCATACCTGAAGATCCAGAAGTCTCCTTATTTAGTGATTTACCTCGGAGTCATCATTAGAAAAGGTTTTTGGTATAGATTGATATACACGGTTTTGTTTTTAACTAGCCCTGCTTCATGGATTTGTCTTACCTTTGTCTTTTCACCCAGACAATCTCACAGAGGCAGGAGATCACTCTCATACCTTTACCACTGGATCTATTGCTCTGTGTTAATATGAACAGAAAATCACAGCACCTCTCTTAACTACAGATTTACTGTAAAATTAAATGTTCAATCCGGCATAAATTTTTTCACATCAATGAGGAACGGCTCCCTTTCCCCCCAAGATTCATTTTCCATCAATTGCTTTTTCAGTTTGAATAGGAAATACAATCTTTGCATGAGTGCTCTTTATAATTCAATATCAGAAATGCTCAGTGTGAGAATGATAGAGCTGATTAAAACCCTCAGGAGCAGAGGTGTATACAGGGGGTTGTATTCTGGGAGTGTTGACACATACTAGATGTACTTTGAATCTGTGTGGAGACACCACCTGAGGTCTCTTGCAGCAAATTGAAGGCCTTTTTTTCTCCCACAGATATTCTGGTATTCAAGGTGGTTTTCGGCTGCTTTTCTCTGCTTTCTTTGAACAGGTTTGGAAAAAATAATGTTATACCCTTTCAAGCACCAATCAGGTTTGTCCATTATCTGAATCACATTCACATCTAATGTGGGGATATTAACTCATGGAGTGTCCTAGATATCTAAAATTGTCAGAATTCAGTATTCTTTTGTTACAGGAATCATTAGCTACTTTTCAGATCTACTTTTGAAATACATATTCATTTCAGCACTTGACTATCATAAGGTTTAGAGCTTCCATTTAGGAAACTTCACCAAGAATAACCTACAGGGCAAGTATTTCCCTTTGAAACACAGGTACAAAGAGACACCTATGGGAACTTCTGACAGGGAAGTTCTATATTTTGTTCACAGGTCACAACTTTTGTGTTATGGACTTTTGATCTGAAACAGTAAAACTTAAAGGGATATTCCAGCGTAAAATTGATTTAGGGTCAAACACATCGTAACACCGTGGTAGAAACTTTAGTAACGACCACAGGATAGCAATACACAGCAGTCTGAGGAGCCATAAACAAACCTCAACCAAAACACCACTCAATAGCCACAAATAATGCTCAGAACAGCACCTAACTTCATCAACAGTACATATAGGGTCCCAGCTATAGTACTAGCCGTCAAACATCTTTTTAGCTTTGCCTGATTTCTTTAGCAAAGAGACTAAACACAACTCACCTACTCTCTTCCAGCAGCCGCTTGTTTGTAGCGAGACCTCAGGCCAGTCCATTATGGACTACAGCGGGGGGACGCAGCTCAAGGAAGGACATTTATGATCATTACTTCACGGAAATGAAATCAGCCCGGGACGCTAAGGCAAAAGAACTACCGCGTCTGCAGCACAAAAATTATTAATATGGCGATTATTACTTCAAGGAAATGATAGAGATACAAAAAGTCACATTTAGCAATATCTAATTCATCACATTCATGATGACCCCATGAGGTCAAGTGACAATTGCTGCGTCTGTTTTTCAACAACCTACATAGAATTACAACTTGATGTGTAAAATTGGTGAAGTATTCCTCTAAACTCTTTTCTTTGGAGTGCCACAAACTAAACTGAGAAAAATGAACATAAAATCTGGTTATAAATCAGAGACACTGATTTAAAGTGATGAGAAAAGACAGTATCTGAATGTTGGCACTAAAATCTCACCAAGTCTTGATGTGTGTGTGTTTCTATGGCAGAATACATGCTAAGCTAGCCCAGCGCTACTGCTAATAGTAAGTCTGATGATGCTTTGTTTACTACTGGATAGCCATCGTAGCCAAACGCACACAGAGCGACTACACACTCCCCTCAGAGAGCCTGTTGTTGTCCATGAAGGGAGTGGAAACACAAGAGCCCTAAAGTTTGTGAGTGTGTGTGTGTCTGTTTGTGTACTTGTGTATGCATGTATGTCTGCGGCTGTGTTTTGTGACTGAGTGTGTGTTTGTGCGTAAGTCACTGGGGGGGATAAAGAGTCATTGTCTGCAGCTGGTGCATCCCCCACTCCTCCTCTGTGCAGCTGTGAGGAAATCAAACGCTCCTCTTTTCCCCCTCTCTGCTTCTGTCACAACCTGCTGATGCCTTATTAGGTCATTCATGGGGAGACGTAGTGATGACCCTCTGATGGGCTGTGTAGTGGTGCAGGTTCACCCCTACCAATGAGCTCCTACAACTAAGTATCAGCAGCTTTAATTCGAAACTACATTCACAGATGATTTTTACAAGCAGATTCACACAGCGCGATTAACAATCCAATAAAACAAGCTGACTGAAACGTAGAAATTAGGTTAGAAATAGTGATAAAAATGAAAAATACGTGATGTGAGGCAGCAGCTGCAGTGTCAACACAAACTAACATGAATGAGCATCAGCAAAGGGCGATGACAGGAGTAACACTCTGACACTTTAAAAATGAGGTCACTCACAGTCAGTGCCGTCCAGTTAGTGGCTAAGAGCCAATTTTGAGAGCGGGCACGTCCAGCGATTGATTGGTGATTCGATGTGCGAAGGTGTGAATGAACTATGAGAGTGAACGCGTGAGTGAGTCTGTCAGATGGAGTAAAGATAGCGAGTAGATCGATGAGTAAAAGAGTGTAGTTTTATTTGCATGAGATCTGTTATAGAGAAGCAGCAGTATTTTTAATCTTGAACTCTGTTTAATATTTTTATTTTTATGGCACATGGGTGAATATTCTTTACATGTCTCTGTGTTTTAACATTTAACAAAGCTGAAGTAGTGACTGCTGAAAAAGTGTCTCCAAATGTTGGCAATTGACACAGACTTTATTTAAAGAAACTCTACAGGTAAGAAAATAGAATGAATGAGCTACAAAGCTACTAGCATTGGCTTCCTGTCTTTATTGGATTTTCAAAGTGGGCTGAAGTATGATGGCCCTAAAGGGCAACTGCACAAACATTTCATGAACATAAAAAAAACATTTCACTGAACATCATCATGAAACAACAAAGTATTATAGAAAACAACCGATGAACAAACAAAAAAAATTCACAAACAAAATAGTATTTCAAAGAATAAAACCTAATCCTACTGTTTCAAAAAACAGAAACATTTTAGAAAATAGAAAAATATATCATGAAACATAAATTAAATGTTCCATAAATATGCAGAGATTTGTCAAGCAACACAAAATGAAGGAAAAAAAATCATAAATGGCAAATAAGCTGAGGAAATAAAAATATTTAGAGAAGCTTAAACAATTTCACAAAACACGTAACTTTTTGATATTTTATAAAATATTTAAAGAAGCTTAAACAATTTCACAAAACATAACTTTTTGATATTTTATAAAATATTTAAATGTTTCAGACAAAGTCTTGGTTCACTTTTTTTATATTTCATGTTTTGTTTTGTTTGCATTTTACAAAAAATGTGTTTTTAATGGATTGTTGTGTAACATGAAATGTTTTTTCTTTTTTTTTTATATATTTTAAGGGAAATCTTGCCTCATTACATTGAATATTTTACCATTTTGTGAATTGGTTCTTTCATTAATAAATTTTTGTTTGTTTGTTTGTTTTTTTCTGCTGTTCCGTTTATTTTTATTTATCTTTTTTGGGGGGGGAAATTGATTTGAGTTTCATGAATTGCAGCTTTCCTCTACAGTGATATGTTTGTATTCTTACTCAAATGTTTTTTGTTTTTCAGTCAATTTTTTTCATTCACAAAATGTTTCTGCTGCTGACCTTCTGGGCCACCGTACTCAAGCCATATAGAAGTTTATATAATCCTGATAAACCATGTGGTCATACAGTGGGCTATTCCCAGAGAGGTTAGGCTCAGGATGTGGAGTTTGAGCTGTGTTTGATCTCCCTTAAAACAGAAAAAACACCAACTTGAGAACCAAAAATCAATAAAGGGGATGATTGGTTTACTGAGATTTCCAAGGTTAAAGAAAGGAAAGATACCCTGAAAATATTGGCAGGTATGCAGGGATTAAACTTGACTTTTATTTGGACATCACAAGTGATTTCAATGAATGGAAATAGATGTGGTGAAGAGAGTCTGAGCTGTGAAGTATCTGCAGCTCTGCGCCTTTAAATGCGTGCGCTCCTCCCTCCCTCCTCTCAATGGCCAGCCCGCACTGCCTCTTTAACACATCCAGTGGAAATGACAAACCAGAGGCGCTCCACGGGCCAGCGTGTTAAACACCAACACTAATCATGGGCATTAGCGACAGCAACTCATCTGAAACCCGCAACCCGAGACACTGAGGAGGACGTCTTCGGGGGCCTTTCTGTTGGTCTGCGGACGCGTCAAAGTTGGAGCCAGGCTGGCCAAATGGACGTCGATGGACTGGAATGATTCCTCCGCTCCTATCGGACTGAAGGAAGGAGGGAAAGAAACCTCTGCATGTTCAAGTTTTCTGCTTAAACCGCAGGGGCATCGCTTCGTGCGTGTTGGATGTGGGTGCGTGTGTGGAAGTGTGTGTTGGGTGCGTGTGTGTGCGCAAACGGAGGACCAGCAGCGGCAGTGGCGGCGGCGGTGGTGGAGGAGGTGGTGGTGGCCGCGGGAAGGGAAGTTTAGCGCCGTGATTTTTCTTTTTCTTTTCCTCTATTTTGTTGTGTTTGTTTCACGCCACACCGGGGGACAGGCGGATTTAACGTTTCCCTGATGAAAATTAACCATCTGTGGAGAGGCTCTGTGATCGTGACTATGATGATGATGTCGAGTAAGAGCGTGGAGTGGCTGCAGGAGGAGCTGGAGTCCGGGGCCGGCTCTCTGCTGCTGCTGGACTGCAGACCCCATGAGCTGTACGAGTCCTCGCACATCGAGTCCGCCATCAACCTGGCCATCCCGGGCCTCATGCTGCGGAGGCTGAAGAAGGGAAACCTCCCCATCCGCTCCATCATTCCCAACAACGAGGATAAGGAGAAATTCGTCAAGCGCTGCAAGACGGACGTGGTGGTCCTGTACGACGAGGCGAGTCCAGAGCGACAGGAGTCCGGGCTGGGGAGCTCCGTGCTGGGGCTGTTGCTGCAGAAACTGCGGGACGACGGCTGCAAGGCTTTCTTTTTGGAGGGTAAGACCTCAGGGGTGGATGAAGACCCTCTAATTCTGACTAAACTCACACTGACAGAAGGACAGAGTGATTATTTCCCCTCAGTTTGATGACCTGATGTTACATATGTGCTTGTTTGATTTCCAAACAAACACTGAACTGATCTAGTATCCCTAATTCTGGATATTATTGAAGTATTTTGCCTCATAGCTCCTGTTTCTGTACCCAGTATGAAGTGTTTTAGTAAAAAACATGATCTTAGATGAATAATTTGTGCAGTATTAGTGTTGTTACAGATTATTTACATGCTCATGGTAGTTTAGGTTTAACAGTCTGCTATAAAAAGCAAAAACTCAGGTCTCTTATTTTAGTGTTGTTTGTTAAAATATGATTTAACTCATTTAGTGATTATATAAAACATGTCAGTGTGAAGTAAGCTGATTGTGAACTTCTCTTTCATGTCTCCGCCATGATTTACCGCCATGACTTTAATATAAAAAGGATTGCTTCCCTTTACCAAGTGAGGAGTCTATACAGCTGTTTGAAGTGTGTTTTTGATTAAATCCTATAGAAATGTCCCCGCCATGTTGTGCCCCTTCAGCAAAAGCGTTTTTTAATGAATGAACTGAGAAAAAAAGAGAAAAAGAGGCGTGCGCTGGAGGATTAAAAACGACCAGTTTCATCTGTAAAAGCGGACAGCTTCATGTCAAACATGTGACATGCTTTTTTTAAAATGTTGAACTAGTTTGACTTGCAGATCACTGCGGGAAATGTTTCACTGGAGTCACATACCGAGCTGCCATTCACAAAAAGTCCACTGAGCAGAGTAGTGAGTGTTGTAAGTGTCCTTCTCTGCTGCTGCTGCTGCTGCTGCTGCTGATTCTCCCCAGGGCTCAGCTTTTCTCAATGGAGCACATCTGTCCAGCATGTTGGCTTTTTCATAATGACGCAAATATCACGTTATTCTCACATCACCCGGCACACTCAGGCCTGATGCAGTGGTTCATAAAAACATGGTGTGAAAACAGTAGCTACATTTTTAAGACAAATCTATTCTTTTAGTTATTGCTTTTGGAATAAACACGAAAAATGGTATAAAAAGATAGATTTCTGACTTAATCGTGATGTACTGATTGTGATTATAGTCAGAAAATTTTAACTATCTTGACCAAAAAAATGATGAAATCACATAATTTAACCCAACTACCTTTTTCTAAATGCTGCAGGGGTTTTAATTTGAAGTGTTTTATCTGCAGAAAGAGTACAACTCTTATTTTTTAAACAGAACAAAACAATTTTATTCGTTTTCTACTTATTTCTTCAAGATTATAGCTTAACTGTTTATTTTTATATTCTGAATCAGAGCTACTCAGAGGTCCAAATATCCCCCCATTTATTCCCTCCATGGAAATTATTTCTGGTTCTTATTTTACTATTCAGGTTTTTATATCCAGCTAACAAAGCCAGAAGCCCTTTTAAGATGCTGAATCACGTCTCTGGTCACTTCAGGGGCACACTTTTTATACCACCCATTGATTTCATTTTCCCTTTTCTTAATACTGACATCATTTTCTGTTATTTTCCCTCAGGGGGCTTTAACAAGTTCCAGTCTGAGTACCCCGAGCACTGCGAGACCAATCTGGACTGCTCGTGTCCCAGCAGCTCCCCGCCGTCCTCTGTCCTCGGTCTCGGAGGACTCCGAATCAGCTCGGACTGTTCCGACGGGGAATCGGACCGAGAGCCGGGTAGCGCCACCGAGTCAGAGGGTAGCCCGCTCCCCAACAACCAGCCAGCGTTCCCAGTCCAGATCCTGCCGTACCTTTACCTGGGCTGTGCCAAAGACTCCACAAACCTGGATGTGCTCAGCAAGTACAACATCAAGTACATCCTCAACGTGACGCCCAACCTGCCCAACATGTTTGAACATGAAGGAGACTTCAAGTACAAACAGATCCCCATCTCTGATCACTGGAGCCAGAACCTGTCGCAATTTTTCCCTGAAGCCATTTCATTCATAGGTGAGTGAGAGGAGGGATAGATCCAGGCTGTGTCCACGTGCTGTGACTATGTCAGCGTGGTAATGGTTATTCAGTTCATTATTTTGTGTTTCTTAACACCTTACTCTACAAAATATGAAAATAACGCCAGGGAAAATATTCACAGATTCTTACAATTTAAGACAGAAAGATATTATGCCGACTGTCTGGCATGATAAATAAAAAGCTGTGCATTTTATGGAAACACAATCATATTCTGGGCTGGATCTGCTACTGATCAAATAACAAAAAAATCACATGAATTTAGGGGTGAGAGAAATAATTGCTACAGCATTGTATCGCGATATTTTGTCTGGTGATATATCGTACCATCTCATTGACCAAATTTTTTCAAATTAATTGTTAATATGAAGTCAAATGTATGATAATAGAAACATAAAATCAACTATTTGTCTAGTGAGGTTGGCAGAGGAGACACCAAAGAGCAGGAGAAAGTTAGTACAACAAATAAATATATAAGGTTTGCAAGATGTGCTACATGAAAATAAAATACAGCGTAAATAAGACAAACAGAAAGGAAAGACAAATGCTAAATTAGCTTAACAGTAAAAAAAAATGTATTAATCGCAATATATTGTATCGCAATACTTACTGTTTTGCAAAATGTTAAAAATCGCAAAAATATCGTATTGTGGCCCAAGTATCGTGATAATATTGTATCATGGGGCCACTGGTGATTCCCACCCGGGAATTTCGATAATTTTAGTGCTGCAAACCAACATTAACTTTAGTAAGTTAACTTTTAAAACAAAGACACGTGTACATAATCACTCCTTGTCGAGTGTATGTGCTTGAGAGTAGTGTTGTAAATAAGAGAAAAGCAAAAAATGGTAAAATCTGTGAATTTTTGGGTATGTTTTTCTTCTGGAGGTACTTTATTTGATCTCTAACTATTATCAAAATCATGCAGCCAGTGATCCCCTCTTGGTCTTTAAACAACAAAAAAAATCATCCCACTGAGCTGAGGCTTCATTAAAGATTTTAGTTTTGTTTATTGTGACTATAGCCCAAAACTTAAACTTGTTCAATCAGCCGTGGTAGTTATAAATGTGGGTTAGGAATTAGACTTACAGATATGCTAAACTAGTGATGAATCCAATTATTATTGTAGGCCTGAGGTGTTTGTATGTTGTGTCTAAGCCTCCTGTCACAAGTCGGGAATGTAGCTTTGGTTCGTGGCTGCCATAAAGCAATAAACTCGACTATCTGGATGTAAACAAACAAAAATGACAGACTGCATCTTTAAATTCCATTTGAATGAGTAGGAAATTAGTCAGTTGGGAGCATCTCTTAAGAGATATCCAAAACAACAACGATTACTCATCCTGAGAAACCGTAATGAGTGAGAGTTTTCCTGTAAAATGTCAGGATTAACAAATCTGTCTTTGCTTTAAACGTGTTTCCAAATACTTCTCGACAAAATCACGGGGGAAGATCTCCAAGCTGCTGTCAGCGTCCTGCTCCCCTCTTGATAAAATATGGATATGAAATCATGAAATGAAAAGCAAAGTCTTGAATAAAACATGGGAACAGATTCTTTCTGAATGGGGTCAGAAGAATTTCATCCCTCGTCCAAGTTCCAGTATTTCCCATCATTCCCGTCATTCCCTCTCTCAGTGCATTCCCAGAGAGTGAGTAAATTCCCTCAGTGAGTCAGAGCAAGCCAGAGTATTTATGTTGCTCTTAGATCGTCCAGATCCCTGACATGTCTCTTTTTTTTTCTCCTAATCTTGGACCGATGTTTCTGCTCAGGTGGGAGGAAGTGTGACATATGCCAGAGCCAGGGGTCGTGGCAGATTTGGGTCACGCCGATGTTAAATGACGCTGTCTGGCGGGCTGTAATGTGCAGGGATTACATCAGGTCTTTTAGCGAACAGCGGGCTAATTATGGGTAAAGGAGACCCAGATGTTACCATATGCTGTTCTGTTTTAACTATGGATGCCTCAAATATCTGAGAGATTATTCAATTAACATGTTTGCTAATGAGTTCAAGATTATTTTAAGAGATGCAGAAATGGACAAAGATGTGTTTGAATTTGAAATCTTAATCCAGAACCCGGAGATCAGCCCTGAACAGATTAACCGCTGGTTACTCATTCAACTACCGAGTCTTGCTCCTTTGTGTTCAGGGTCTCCCTGTGTGGATTATTTCTGGCTCCCTTCTTTGTGGAAAGTGAGCACACATTACATTTAAATGTAATTTGGCATCAGCTCTGCAGCCCGAGCTCATGAGCCTGTGAGCCGTCTGACCCCAATCCTACAACGAGAGAGCGAGGGGGAGAGGCAGAGAGAGCGAGAGATAAAGGAGAGGATGAGAGAGAGAGAAAGGAAGAAAGGAAAGCAGCACTTAACTCTTGCTCTTACGGCTCGTCCTGATGCAAAGTGCAAGGCCTCAGCTCTGATTGAAGCTGGAGGATGTAGCTTGTAAATAATGTAAGATGTTTTTATTCAGCTTTTTCCACAGAATGAGAGCAAGAAAGCAGAATGAAACGCGTCTCTCCGCTATCGTTGAGGAAGGTCATTCTGAAAAGAAAGTATAATATAATGATAGATAATGTATTTGAATATCTATCTGAATAATCCTCCAAAGTATGATGATGTTACTCTACAACTCTGGCTGTGTTTAAAATATTCTGTTATTGCTTCTCCAGTTTTAATAAGTAGTTGAAATTATGATGTTACAGGACATTGGTTTCGCTCGTGTACAGAGGCTAAAGTCCTCATTATTACACGGTCGTAGGATTGTCTCCTAATCCCGACTGTCTCTTTCCAACCGTCCTCGGCCAACAAGTCGCTCCTGTGTTTTCAGTCAGTCATCAGCAAACGAGCTTTTAAGCCATTATCAAAGACCAGACTAAACTAAATGAGCAAATTTGGCTTCACACTTTACCAACTGGGCTTTGTCAACTTCTAGAAACCAGTGAGAAGAGCGGAGAGAAGGAAAGAAATGCAAAAATATGGTGTGTGAAACAAAAGCTGTCCAAACTTTGGCAGGAAATTAGGCCTTTCTAGAATCCCCTTTCTTGTAGTTACAAGCTTATCTAGAAACTAGAGCCTTCATATCCTTTTCCTGAGTTAAAACAAAAAAAAGCTCTGTTATGTTTATTAGTGTAAACATCACAACTCACATGCTGCCATCAGAAGCCAATCTCTCCTTTTTGCTCCTTGCACCAAAACAGTGAAACAAGCTAATATCTTGGTCACTTTCCCCTCCTCCTGGTAAACGTAGATATGTGCCAGAACCGTCTCAAAAAGAAGTCGAGAAAGTGGTCAGAAAAGTGTCTGGGTAGCATGTAAAAAAGAAACCTGATATTTTGATCACTTTGAAGTAGGGCTGGGCGATATGGCCTCAAATCAATATCACAATATATCAAGCAGTTCACCTCGATAACCATAAATGGACAATCACTACTCCACAAGCTGCTCACCCCCACCCACATTAACTTCGTCGCCGCCACTCCAGCCGTTGCAACTTTTGAACTGTCCTCCCATCTCCTCACCTGTCTTACCCTCTTTTATACGGACTGGATGGGGTGGAGTCACGTCTCTGACTTAGGACAGCATCTTAAAGGGACATGAGACCATAGCCTACTTACACAAATCCAAAACCAACTTTGATTTATTTATTTTTAGGTATTTTGGTAGCGGTAAATTTTCAGTTTATCACCCAGCCCTACTTTGAAGGATAAAGAGTGCAATTTTTTCCCCAAAAAAACCAGAGTAGAGAAAAAAACCTTGAGTCTTAAGTCGTCTGCCTTAGTCTGTACGGCATTACAATTTCTTGGCATCAGCTCGTAAGGTCCTTACACACCGGAACCGACGCAAATATACATATCCGAATGTATCTGTAATGTATCTGAACAGGTTAGCTTACGAGCTAAAGTTATTTAGCACAGATGAAAGTTAAAACAAAGACGTTTAGCAAACTGTTAAAGCACACAAACCATTGTCATATGAGAAACCCGACACTATGACTCTTTACAAGTTGTCCTTCAGGTCGTTATCTTTGTAATATTTGTGTTTTTTATCAAAAATCACTCTGTTCTCCGACACGTAAACAATCAGCTGGTCGGCCATGTTGGATATAGCAGTGAATCCGAAATCGCAACCACATGGAATCTGATTGGTCAGAAGTGGACACACAGAATGCAAAACTAGAAAATTCATCTGTGATACAAAAAAATAAATGCCGCAATATCGCAGGACGGAAAAACGACGCTGATGTGAACGCTTGTATCAACAGGATACGGATTCAGAAAAATATATTGACGTCGGAAATAATCAAACGAAAAAAACGCTCCCGGTGTGTAAGGATCTTTTCAGTATTTTGGTATTGGTACATTTTCGGTTTATTGCCCGGCCCTACTTTGAAGGATAAAGAGTGCTAATTTTACCCCAAAAAACTAGAGTAGGGAAAAAAACCTTGAGTCTTTAGTCGTCTGCTGCAGTCTATACGGCATTCCAGTTTCTTGGCATCAGCCTGAATATTGAAGCTTAAAGGAGCTGCAGCAAGACTCCAGTCCAAGAAAGGGGGGAAAAAAAGCTCATAAACCCTTTTCACACATAAACTCCTGACATTTTTTAGATAACTCCAGGACATTTAGGCTCAGATATTTTCAGAGACTCGCTTTTTTACACATGCACCCCACAGCGGGAGAGTTTTCCTATCAGAGGTGTCCTTACCTGAGGTGAGGAGGGTGCCTGGCAAGAGGAGTAGGCTCTTTTTTAACGGTTTCAGTGTTTTTTGGAGTATGAATACAAAAGTAGATTACAGAGAACTGAGGCTCGTAGTAAAGAGACAGCCGAGAGAGACTCCACTCGATGTGAATGTCATCACCTGCCTACTCTCTCTCGTAGTGAATTGTCCCGATTTGTAACTGCTGAGTTCACACATCAGCTCGACAGAAATCTTGTGAAAACTCAATCGATGGGGCGTCGGGAAAAAATCCAAATAAAGTTGGGCTGAAAAATTTGACTTTTTAAATTCACATAGACAGGAATAGTTGGTTACTACAGAGCAGAGCAGGACTCAGGATGTAACAACCTAAAACCCAGAAGGATGGCAGATCATGAACTGTGCGAAAATGGCTCAATATGTAATGTCAATGCTGGTTTTGTTTATTTTTTTGTTGATATGACCAAAAAAAAGGTTTGAATCATTGTCTGACCCTCATCTCCTTCCTCCCCCTTTCCTTAGATGAGGCGCGCTCCAAAAAGTGCGGCATCCTGGTGCACTGTTTGGCGGGCATCAGCCGCTCCGTGACGGTCACGGTGGCCTACCTGATGCAGAAGCTCAACCTGTCGCTCAACGACGCGTACGACTTTGTGAAGCGGAAAAAGTCGAACATTTCCCCGAACTTTAACTTCATGGGCCAGCTGCTGGACTTTGAGCGGACACTGGGTCTCAACAGCCCCTGTGACAACCACTCGACCTCTCCGACGCACGACCAGCTCTTCTTCACCACGCCGACCAATCACAATGTGTTTCAACTGGACACGCTGGAGTCCACATGAAAATAAGACACTGGACTGTCCCTTTTAGTTTTGGAAGGGTCAAAGTGGTGTTCTTGCCACGGTAACAAGCGACTACACTGGAGAGAAAAAGCAGTTTTCATGAATGTTTTAGCCTCCCAGTGGCTCGTCGTCTGAGAGCCTGGTCACGGAGCTGCGTTGGAGGGACACAGGAGGCCACAGATGCCACGTACAAAGGGGGAACAGGAGTTTTTTTTTTTTGTCTAACCCATAAGGGGGAACTGATAGACGGTTTCGCAATGGTATCCTCCTCGGAAGTTGATTGAAATCAAGAGAGGGAGAGCCCTGATCTACTTGTTTTGTAACAAAGAACCGAGGAGATTTATGTGACTGAGAGACTGCAGCAGCTTCATACAAAGATAGAAACGCGGAAAAACCCTCAGCGCTCGATTTTCTGAGACGACAACATCCTCTCTGTCTTTTTGTCTCAGCTCTTGAGCTGAGCTGACTGGTGCCAAGTGGAGAATCTGGGATTTACTTGTTGGAAATCTCGCTCTACTGAATGTAGAGTTTTAAAAACCAAGGAATTAACACACACACACACACACGCACACACACACACACACAAAGTATGTATGTTTGTACTGTATGTATGTTAACGTACATAGCAGCAGCAGTCCTTAACAAATCAGTATGTCTTTATGCATTTTTGTATATTTTTGTGTCCATTTACGCACAAATCTATACCTTATATAAATATATACGCATAGAAATCTTATCTATCCAATCTAATAATGGCTTAAGAGAATGTAAAACTAAAGAAGGGGAATGGGTGCACTGACACCAACAAAGAGGAACGTTCTTGTGGTTTTTTTGTCGTCGTTTTCTTTACTTTTTTTTTTAGTTTCTTTTTCTCTGTTAGGTTTGTAATGACCTAATGCAGTTTGCACAGTGGTGTAGCCATTGACTTGCTGGCACTTGACGCAGGCAGATAAAGAGACATTCAGAGGAGAGAGGCCAGTCCCAGGCTGCGACAAGTCCTGACAGCTGCACAGAGGAGAGAGGAGGGAGCAGGAACTGGGACCCCCTGCGTAGGACGAGGTTCGGGGGGTTAGAGGGTTGGGATTGGGGCACATAGGGTTAGAAATGATCAGAGCACTTAAGGTTTGATATGGGTGAAGGCTCTACCGAAGAGTTGACATTTTGCCAACTTTTAGTGGGTCAAGTTCCCAGTTTCTACTTCCTTCCTTGTATGACTGTTAATCCAGTTGTCGAACAAGAAGTTCCAGTAGTTTCCACCAGCTGTTTGTTGTTATTTTTATTATTTTTATCTCTGCTAAAGGTTAAACTTGTGAGTTTTACCAGTTCCAATACTGATACCTGCCCTCAGTGAGGTTATCAGGTATTGGCAAATACGCCAAAAATCAACATGAACAGTGCGGTGCAAAGTGAGCATGTTGTATTAGTTAAAGCTTCCCAGATGGCAGCATTCAGTGTTTTTTTCAACCTATATATTTTCTTCACACGAGTACCAAAGCAGTGCTATGAATCAGCCGAGTAGCAGGGAGGAAAAATGGTTTCAGAGCTCTCTTCCCATCATACCAGTATGATGTTTCTCCAAACTAGGGCTGGGCGACTGAAAATTTACTGATACCGAAGCAGTACCAGACTGCAACAGCTGACTTAAGACTAAAGGTTTTTTTCTGGGGAAAAATTAGCACTCCTTATCCTTCAAAGTAGGGCTGGGCGATAAACCGAAAATTTACTGATACAGAAATTTACGACAATATCCGACGTCATTTTGCCTACGTCGGTATATTCGGTGTCAAAAAATAACTAAATTAAAGTTGGTTTTGGATTTGTGTAGGTAGGATATGGTCTCATGTCTGTTTAAGACGCTGTCCTACGACGGAGACGAGACTCCACCCCATCCAGTCTGTAACAAAGAGGGAAAGACAGGTGAGGAGATGGAGGACAGTTCAAAAGTTGCGGCAGCTGAAGTGAACGAAGTCAGTGTGGGAGGGGGTGAGCAGCTTGTGGAGTAGTTATCATCCGTTTATTGTTATCGAGATGAACTGCTCAATATATTGATATACTGATTTGAGGCTGTATCGCCCAGCCCTACTCCAAACTGGCAGCCAAGATCAGAGTTGAAGGGGGACTTTTAAGACGGCATTAACATTTCTGAGCAACTTTTTGGCTCAAGGAAGTGCCTCAACACTCTTCTATTTCCTACTTCTCTCCACCTAAAAAGAAAGTTGCTCAGTTTGGTTCTGAGTCTTACAGTGCCCGGGTATAAATCTGGACTCGGTGTTGAAACCTTGTGGACTGGGATTGGCCTCAGCTACAGACTGCACTTCAAAAGCTTCTTCGTGTCTCTTAACTGCATTGGCAAACAAAAGGAAAGGTCTTTAAGGAAAGGGATTACCCATTTCGTCAAAGAGGTGTTTGTTTGAGTTGATTCACCCTTAAGCCTTGGGTATATGATATAAAAGATATATAAACAGGAATTGATACACATAAATATTTATATGATAAAGCTTATAATAAACAGATCTATATTATTTTGTATACCTGAGCATGCTGTCGTACTGTATGCTCTCTAACAGTAGACGTAACCACGGGTTTGATGTTGCTTTAAGAGGCGGGAAGACGAACGATGGGGACCGTTTTTTTAACTGCTGTCGCTGCTGATCACAGCGGCTCACAGCGTGTGGCCAGGGAGTTTTCTGAGACCCTGTTCACATCAGAGGCGTCTCATTACCAAGCACTTCAGATGCTGATGTTGTCCACTTTATCCGAGTGTTCCTTCTGAGAGTGGAACACAGCAGCATTCGTAAGTGACAGCGAATTTCTGTGAGTACAGAAGACGTCACGCAAGAACTATTCATGTATTTTTATTCGAGTCTTTCTTTTTCTTTAAGGGTTACCTGTTCTGCTCTATTTGTGAGCATGTGTAACTGACATAAAGTGACAGTTGTCTTGTTCAGGGGGTCTTAAAAACAACAGAGAAAGACTGAGTAAGTTTTTAACTTCTTAATCTTGGAAGATGAATTCATAAAGCACACAAAGATAGGGATTGATTTGAGTTTTAAGAGCAAAAAATCGCAAATTTTCTCATTTCAGCCTTTTTAAAGTGAACATTTCTAGGTTTCCCTTCTCCTGAAAAACAAACTTGAGAGTTTAATCTTGCTTTGTTTCTACTTTCACTTATTGAATGCTCTCAGATAAGTTTACTGTAAGTCCATATATTCCTTTAGGATCCCCCAGGTAGCTCAGTTCAGGCTTTGATGATTGTCAAAAAAAACTTGTTTATCTATTTTTAACACTCTGGACATCTCTGTAATGCTAATTTGCCATAATATGGATGTAAATTATATACGGTTGGATTATCTATCCTCTATCCCCTCATATCTAGACTCTCCCTGTTGAGTTCAGGAAGTTTCTATCTGGTGTCCATCTATAAGGAAATACATTTGGGGTGTTTATCTGCTTACTTTCAGAGTAAAGAGGATCTGAAATTGGTTGACACATGAGTAGAAAGACTCCAGATTGAATGTTTTTGTTTATGAGGTTCTTGCATGACGTCCATTGTTACTACTCACAGCGAACACGGCTCTAGTTTGAAGGTCGTGGTGTGAACAGGGTCTGCACAGAAACACAGAATTGGGTTTTCGAGGGGACAGCAGAAGCTGAACAGGGTTGGTTTAAGCTGGCCTTATATAATCTTTCTAACTTGTTTCTAATGCTGACTGTTCAATACTTTGTATCTCACTTTAAAAACCTTGTGTAAAAAAAAAATGAAACGTTTGTTTATTTGTTATTTGAATCAGAACATGGTAACAGCAGACAGCGAGCTGTCTTTGCGCCATGACGGGTCACACGAGGTCTTCTTTGTTACTCTGCAATATATCAAAACACCTTTTTGCAGTATTTTGTAAGATCCAAGACCTCAAAGTTTTTAAAATCTTCTTCTTTTGTACTATATCTATTCTACATAAGTATACATCCAGCTCAGTATGGCTTGTGGACTGAAGTCTCATTTCACCTGGGGTGTCCAAAATATTTGACCGTTCGCGACCTGAAAGAGGCCGTCACTGACCTGCACACAAACGCACACACACACACACTGCTTCACACAGCCAGAGCTGTGGTTCAGCATGCCAATTTAGTTTCACAGTAGACGGTTTCACCATCCGGCTTTAATAATGACAAGGCCTTTTCCGTCTTGTTTTGATATAATGTGCTCTATGCTATTCCTGTGGCCTTTCAATATGAATATATATCTACGTATATATATGTTATGAATTTATATGCAAAAGATCCTCTCCTAGTATAGCATCAGAGAAGAAGACGCCACCATGCTTGAATGGACTTCCCTTGTCTCGAGTCATATCCCACCCACAATAAGGAAAACGTTGAGAACTTGATCACTCGCACCCTAGGATTGAAATATATTTCAGTGCAGAGCTCTTTCTATTTCAAAAAGAAAACATGGTTGATTTCAAGCTGCTTTCTCGTGTTTTTGTGTCTTTGTAACAATGAAAGAGAAATCAAGTCTTTTTTCTCTGTTTGTAAATTTGCCAGATCATGGGAACGGCTGTTTCTGTGTCCTTAAAAACTTGTAGCTACATCTCGGTAAGAATGTGCTTGGGAGGGAAAGACGTGAATGAGCGAGAGCAGCAGAGAGAGAGAGAGAGTGAGAGAGTGGCAGCGTTAAATACAAAGTGAAAGAAAAAGTGAATGATTTTAAAAATGTTACCTCAGTGAGGAAATTTTCAGGGATTTTTTTGACAATGCATCTTGCATCGTGTTACAGCTTCAAACACACGTTGACTAGCTGTTTTGTATTGTGCTGTAAACAGTTTTTAAAACAGATGCAATCTGTCTGTGTAGAAAACAAGGGGCATGTTAACCGGGGCAGTTTCACCTTTCTGTCTACTGAAGGAAAAACGATTGACCCGATGTATTGTACAGTATATGGAAACAACACAAGACATGTTTATACTGCAAATAAATATTGAAATATTTTTTTCTTTAAC